AAGCTAAAGTTAGCATAAAAATAAGCTAAAGTTAGCAGACCCAAGTTGAGAGTAGCACCCAGATGGTGAAATGGTTGTAAAAAATTCAAAAGTAGTAGATAAAACTACTAAGAAGTGATCATTTGTAATAAAATAGCTAAAACAGATGAAGTCTTCAGTAAAACAGCTAAAAAGTAGCTGGAAACATTTTAATTAGCATAAGAAGCACAACTTTGCTGTTCTTAGCAAAAATAAGTTGTAATAGCTACCAAAAAACATGTATTTAGCTTAAAAAGCTAACCTTAGCTAAAACAGCTAAAATTTAGCTAAATATGTTTAAAATAGCTGAATGTAGCAGAAAGCAACTGTAAGAAGCATAAATAGCACAAATTAGCAGAAAAAGTATACCAAAGCAGAAGAAAAGCAAAAAGAATTAGAATTTTAGCTAATAAAGCAACAAAAAGCTAACGTTAGCATAAAAATAAGCTACATAGCATACTCGAGTTGAGAGTAGCACCCAGATGGTGAAATGGTTGTAAAATGTTCAAAATTAGCAGGAAAAAAACATAAAACTACTAAAAAGTGATCATTTGTAATAAAATAGCTAAAACAGCCGAAGATTTCAGTAAAACAGCTAAGAAGTAGCTGGAAACATTTTAATTAGCATAAAGAAGCATAAGAAACACAATTTTGTATTTAGCAGAAATAAGTTATAATAGCTACAAAAAATGTGTATTTAGCTGAAAAAGGTCATTGCAGCTAATAACAGCTAAAACTGAGCTAAATTTGTTAAAAATAGCTGAATATAGCAGAATGAAACTAAGAAGTATAAATAGCCCAAATTAGCAGAAAAATATAACAAAGCAGAAAAAAGTAGAAGAATAGCAAAAAGAAGTAGAATTTTAGCTGAAAACAGCTAAAATTTGCAATAAATTAGCTAAATTTTGCACAAGAGAATGAATTAGGCCATAACCAGAACAAATTGTGTAAAGTTTTGTAAACATGTAGAAACTATTTGAAGGATTTTAAGGTTGTTGAAAAATGTCCCCATTCAAAGTCAATGTGGCTAAAAAAGTTGAAAAAGCTAAAAAAATAAAAATAGCTGAAATACCAAAAGTCATATTCGGCATTGCATGAAAGAGCTGAACGTTTTGATATATGAATGTTTGAAGTAGCACAAAAATTGTGGAACGATAAAAGTGCCAAAAAATGTACGGAAGAAAAAATGATATTTATTGTGTGAATGCCATTATAACCCAACCTTAATCATTAATTTTTAGAATAAATGTTGTTGATTATGTTGACTAATTGTTGCTGTACGATTTCAGAGTGGGCTTCAGCGTAGAGGTTATAATATTTTACCTTTTTTAGTTTCTGGATCAACATCAGTTTGAGAAGTTTATTTCTTACTAATGATGGAGAAACTGAAGCTTTCTGAATCCGTTAAAATGATTGTTTGTTTACAGCGAGTTTGGCGCCATCTGCTGGTCAACCTGTAACATTACAGCTGCATGAATCATGAAGAACAAGGTGCCCTGAAACTGAGGCTGTTTTATATAATGTAGCTTCTGTGTGCACCTTTTAAAATGTTGACTGTTTTATTTTAAAGACACTAGTCTTATTTTTGTAAGTCTCTATATTTAAGTAAATCATGTCATTTTGTTTCAGTTTGTTTAAAATCTGAAGTCACATTGAGGATTTTAACTCGGTTCTCCTGCAGGTGAACGTTGAGTCTGCCTAAATTAGAGCGAGGACGGTTACACTATGATATAT